TTTCTTCTTTTTTTTTTTTTTTTTTACAAAGGGACATACCAGAACTAGACTATTTGGCTGTGAGTGGGGAGTTAGGCTGGTTTCGTGTGCACAGTGCTGCAGAAGTTTTACAGTACTTTGGATAGCAAAATACATTTGTTGATTACTTTAGTTCCATGCCACATTTTTCCAGAGGGTTTGATCTGGGTTTTCTGTTCACTCTATACCTTTATAATGTACCTAGTTCTGTTTTGGATATAGATACAGGTTAAAGAGCTTGGAGGCTTGTGCTTGCTGATATCCTGACTTTAAGTGTTGGGTCTAGCATGAGAGATGTGCACATAGAATTGTCTAGTTGGAGTTGAGAGGTGTTTAGAAGTTAGCTGAAGACCATCATGTTACATGGGCAGGAGCTTGGTGTTGGAGATGGTGGAGCTGATAAGGCTGAGGAGGTGCTCTCTCTGTTTAAAATGTTGCCATGAGAATAGAGCACATGCTGTTACAAAACAGCCTCCATCCTCGGATTAGAGAGGGCTTGAAAAATGAGCCCTTAGTTGTCTGGCATTTCAGATGTGCTGTTAAACTGCAAATCTCATTACCTTCACAGGAGATGTGGGTGCACAGCCCTCTGAAAACTAGGCCAGCGGTGCTTAAATAAGGAGGAAAGCAAAGAGTGCAATGAAAGAAAGTGAAAATGCTTCATGTAAGCCAGTGATAGACATGTTGGGAGTAGAGTCTTTACTCAGCCAGTGCAGGGAGGGGAGATAACTGAATTGCAACTCTTACCTTTACAAGGAATTTTTTAGTAGTTTTTAGTTCTTCAAACTTCTCTGCCTCCCTGCTGGTTCAGCTCCTGGCTTTTTTGATTTGTTCAGTCTTCCCTCAGATACCTTTCTGCTTCCTGACTATCACTCTTCCTTGCTTTGCTGTCCTGGAATTGTCAGGTCCCAGAGTTCCAGCCTTCACCATGCTGCAAGGAGAGGTTATCATTGTCCTCATGTGAATATAGAATATTCTGCACCATCATGCAGAGCATCATTTAACCTGCATATGTGAGGAGGCTGCTTTTCTATTGCTGTGGGAACCACAGGTTAATTTTATTGCATATTTTTCTTTTATTTTAAGAGATTTCACTCAGTATTGCACTAACAGGATTCTTTGCAAACCTGTTCCATGGCTGGCTTTTCAGAGCATGTCATTAAATGCAGTGATCTGGGCAATTCTTTAAAAGTAGATCTTATTTTAAATGCAGTTGGGATGGGGAGATAAAAACAAAGTATCAAGAAATTAATTGTTTCATTTCCACCACACCTTACAGTTGCTGTCACTAATATCTGCTACTAGGTTGCACTGTATATGTAAAACAATAACTCCTTCAACTTAAAATGCTAGCAAAACAAGGGCTAATAAAAAAGAATTTTGGATTGTATGAAGTCAGAAAAATGCCAGATGCTTGGTGATTCTTGTCAGCAACACAATGCAGGGAAATGATACTTGGCCTTAGGGAGGCCCAGTATGGGATGAAGTACTTCCCCATGCTCAGTATTTGTATCTGCAGACTGATACACTAATTATCACTGATCTGCTCTCAAGGCTGATGGGTCCTCATCCAGAAGTGTGCTTTCTGCAATGAGGATTCAGGAGGAGAGAGGTAATTTGGACTTGATAGAGATACAGGGGCACAAATTCTACTTTCTAGCTAGAAAATAATCCAGTATGAAACAAAATAACCCAGCATCCCTACCTATTTGAAGATGTGGTTGGTGGTCTTGTTAAAGCATATGCAATACTCAACTTTGCTTCAATGTCAAGTATTTTAAGAATTTTGTTTTTTTAAATTTAATAGAACATTTATCATCTTCTGTAGAAACTATACTTGAAGAAAAACAATCTATAGTTTAAGCTGTGGATGTTCTGTCTGAATGATCAACAGCAATTAAAATCTAACAATTTTAAACAGTAAAAGCCCTTATTGCTTGGAAAAGTAATTATAAATGACTCAAGAAAATTTGCTTTTATAAACCTTTGATTTGGTTGTTCCAGACTTCATGACACTAATGTTATGTCTTGTGTTTCCAGTCTGTTCAAGACTGAGTTTCTGTCCATGGGTGATGTGAGTTGAAGAAGTATCAGTCCTTCTACAAAAGCATAATCATTTAGAAGCCATGAGAAAAAAAGGTTTACTTTACATCCTACTAGCAGGATTTTAACTGAAAATTTTAATCTGAATACTTCCCAAAGGAGTGTATGTCCCTAGGGTTGTGGCTGACAGCCATGTCACCTGCTTGATCTAAGGTGAGACTGTGTGTGTTGGGAACCTTCTAGGAAAAATTACCTGTACAAATAGATGCTGTTGGTATTTTACAGGGTGCAGCTACTCTGTCAGTAGATAGCTCAGATCAGGTGTAGACTGAGGTCCTGAGCACTTCAGTCAAAAGGTTATAGAGAGTGTGAATAGGAACATGCATCTCTGCACCCTGCTGGATTTCTGAATTGGGTAACTTCATTGAAATCTGAGCACCAAAATAGTCCTCAGGTGGCATCACCCAGTGGAATCTGGTGTTTAAGCCACAAACCTGCTAGAACTTCCAGCATCACTGTTACCTTGCTGGAGAGCACTCAGCAGTAGCTCCGTGTCAGTAAAGGTACCGTAACTGTGGTTTATCATTAGCTTTGGAGTCCTTTGCAATGAAACTTACGTTATAAATGTAAGATTGCCCTGATTACATTTCTTATCTCTTGTTTTTAACACTTTGTTTTGTACAGCAGGATATGATCCTTCTTCTATGTCCGGGCTTTGGCCTCACACAGTAGGTGTAATATAATCGCTGAGGTGGGCGTTCTGGAAGGAGAATTATTTTTGGAGGCTTTTGCATGAAACTTGTCCAATGAGTCTGAGACGCCCAAGCACCATTAATTTTGGAGGTAAATGCCTCATAATATATACTGAATAGATTGGGAAGAGTTAAGATTTTCATTTAGTGAAGGCTGGGCAAAAAATTGTTAAAGGGATAGTTCTGACTGTTTACTTCTGATGTTTGGAGGCTTTGAACTTAAAGGAACACCAGCTTGAACTCTAGAAAAATTGGGGATGTGGAGCAGCTTTAAGCTCAATCAGTCTGGCAGCTGCTCTGCATATGAATTAGTTTCCTGGTTTAAATATTTTCCCCCTCTTTTGGTTTATTGACAGCAACAGAGGCAAAAGTGAAAGATGATTTTTGCTATAAGAGAAATTACCAGACTACCTGAAGTATTTTCTCATGCTGAAACAAATAGGAAAAACCTGTGACTTGTGATATCAAAGTTCAAAGATATCTTATTTAAGCTTGATGTCCCTTTAAGTTATTCCTTGAAATCTGATGTTTCTTATTTGAATCTCAATTCAAATGTTTAATTCAACTAAGATGCTTTTTATTAAGATATTTTCTATCATTTGTCTATAAGTTGGTCTGTCAGAGTGGGCTGGGATATGTACAAAGGGGAGGGAGGAATATTGTTGTTAACAATGAAAAAAACCACAAACAAAAAAACCAACAAACAAATGAAAGAAAATATTACAATTAGTTCTAAAAGAGGTTTTTTTAAATGACAGATTTTCAGTGTCAGTACTTGCATTGGGTGGAGGGGAGTGGTGGTGGTAGAATTGTTTGCATGAAATATTATTTACTTTTAACATGATATTGTTATTGGAATGAAATCAGGTTACTGATAAAGTTATAATGTACATTTTAGAAGTTAGTAAGTTAAGTTTGCTCTAGTAAACAACAGTAATGTAGTACTGGCACACAGCCAATAGAGAAATCAAAACTGTTTTAAAGATGTACAGTGTCTGGGTCACACTAATAATGTTGATCCTGAATTCTCATTGCTTTCTGATATTAATGATAACTGTTACTGAGAAATATTTAATATCTAAAAGCAGGCTGTCTAGTAGAGAGCTATCTTACACTGTTTAATGAAATAATTTTTAGTATAATCTGAATTTTATGCACTAACTTCTTATCAAACTGCATGCATTTATATATATATATATTTGGCGCAGCCTTTCCCTGTTAGCATTATTATGAATATTAAGGATTTTGGATTTGAATTATTGAAATTAAAACCATGGAATCATAATACATACTTAACAAAGGCAACAGACTAGAGTAGTGGATGTCTGGGAGGGTATATTATG